AAAAAAAAAAAAAAATGTATTTAGTCCATCACAAATTTATAAACCACAAAACTTTGTTAGTTTTGTTGTTGACATTTCCTATATTTCTTTTAGGAGTACTTTTCTCGCAGCGCAACGTTAGGATTGATTCTTTATGTACCAAACATCTCCAAATACCATGTCCAAAACAAGTATATACAAGTCGTGTATTTTTATTTTTATTTTTCTAAATATACACTTATATTTAGTCATTGACTATGGAAGCATTGACATTGCCTCTAGCTACAAGGGAGGCGATAACCAACCTTACATCCATGCAAAGAGTTACATGGAGTGAAATTCGTAAAAGTTATAGTTTAAAAGAATACTTCTATTATAAAGTCCTACGGAAAAAAATAAAAAATAAAAATCCTTCTAACTATTCAACCATTACAATGTGGATTTGTATCCCTAAAGTGTCCATAACAAAAATTACAAAGGTAAAAGAGTTATTCAACAATAGTTTATATATACTCTTCGAATGATATATACTCTTCATTCATATATTACTTGTTTATTGATATTGTACAATTACGATTATTACAGAACAGTGGTAATGCTATTCCAATTAGAATATGGAAACCTTGAAGGTTATTATGGAAATATTTTTTCATCCCATCTTTCTATATTCTGAAAAACGGATTTATGTTCATTGATCCCATTTAAAGCAAGAAACATGATTCGCATCAATTTACACGAGAAAGGGAAGTCCTACAAACTGGACAAGACTGGTTCTTTTGTAACCACTGATCAATACAATCACAATGGAAGTAATGTCCACACTGAGTTATGTACTTAATTGTCTCTTCGCATTGGTATTCTTCAAGGCATATTGCACAAGAAACAAAATTGGGACCTTCTGATACTGTACAATACTTCTTTTTCAACTCGTCAATGACTGTTGTCACAATGGTGCATTGCGACGGTATTTCATCAGTATATACATTGGTGGTTTCTGGTGGCATTGAAGTGGTAACTGCCGTGGATTGTGGCCTGAGAACTGGAACTGCTGCTTGAGTCCTACCTCCTCTTGCTCTCATTTTCATCAAGCTTAAGAAGCATACTACGGTCAAGAATGTCGACATGATAACAACAAAGGGAAAAAAGAGTGGTGATCCGATTATTTTGGACCATTTACTCCTCGATCCACCTGTCAATTAAGTGAACAAATAATTGAACCATATCTTAATTTTTACATGACCTAAAGTGGTAAAAAATTGTTTCTATTCGATAGAATGAATGTCGTGTACTGCACTGCCGAAGCCCCAAGGGGCTCTTGAAATAACCAACCTCGGATACTAAAGAAAGGAATCGCTAGACAGGAAACTTCACTTCGTGCATCCAGCTTGTAGACAGGGGCGGATTTAGAGGTGGGCTGCACTTGGCTGCAGCCCACTGTTGACCAGGCCCAGATAGTTAAAAAAAAAAAAAATTTGTGTGAATTGTAGTCCAATAGCCCATATGTAACCACATTAGCCCAACAACAATTTAATTCAGTGGGCTAGTCCACCTAAAATTTTTTTGTGTTTTAATCTTTAGCCCACTAATTTAACCCAAACCCACT